TTTACTTAACTATAATACACTGTGTTAAATAGTTTGTGATAATAATTTTGAATGTGAAATAAAATAATATGTACTACAAAAGCACATTTATTAAGGGATTAATTATTTCTTTCGACTAATTTTTTATTAGTTAGTAACAGTTATTTATGTTTTTTGCTGGTTATTAAATGTTTGCTTGTTTTCTATAGCTAGTTTTTTTTCCTGATTATTAATTCTTGTCAACTAGTGTTTTTGCTGATTATTAATTGTTAGCTTATTTTTTGTTAGTTTTTTTATAACCTTTGATTGTATAGCTTACTTTAATTATTAGCTTTTATTTAAGTTTGAAAGTTGATATTTAGCTTGCTTTCCTTTGATAATTAATAATTTTAATGATCAATAAATTTTGTAATTAAAAAAGCATTATAATTTTTATTGTATCATTTCTAATATTTGGCGGCACACAAAAGTGCTGCGGCACAGTGGTTGAGAATCACTGTTTTAACCATATAACCTATTTAATAGCATTAATTGAATTATGAGACAAATTGCGTTTATATTTACAGAATAGAGGCTGGAAACTTTGTTGTATGATTAAAATATTTATTTCTTATCGAATCTTACTCAGCTTTTTTTCTGTTTTAGAGTACTCTTCAGTAGATTTCCAAACCCACTAATATTAATATGAAGAAAACTCCTGATCACTTTATGTTTGATTGTCCATAAACAGATGACCAAGGCCTGTTGTAAGTCTACATTTTGCAGGTTAAGTATTAATTCTTCCAGATACTCAGATAAAACTTAAATATAAATGGATGCGTTATAACATGAATAAATCAACAAAAAAAAAGCTTTATTTATTTTTTTTCCATCAAAATATTTACATTTTCTAAGATTTTGTTTAGCATAAACAGCATTTATTATTAAATAAACCTTTTTGTTTGAAAAGCAATATGACAAAATTATAGCCATATTTATATCTTATATGAATATAAGAATATAAAAATTTTCCACCATAAAACATATCATTCAGCTGCTAATTATAATAAGAACTACCTTAAACTTTCAATATTATAATGACTGATAATCATTTTAAAAATCTTATAATGTCTGATTTATCAGCGACAGAGAGGGGGAGGACGGCATCCAAATGAGAAGGATATCCAGTCGATGAGAGACTTAAACTTTATTATTAATTAACTTTAAGTGTTTAAGTTAAGTGTTGTTATTAATAACACTTAAACTTTATTTATTTATTACCTTTATTATTAAATTAAGTTTCTTACAGGTAAATATTTTCCTGAAGCAAAATATTTTGTGAAGAATAAAATATTATTTTCAAGTAAATTTGATGATGAAGCTCTAGATCAGTGGTGCTCAAACTAGGGGTCGCCAAAAGTTTTTTGGGGGTCGCCAAATTTTTATGAAATGCATTATCCCTGCATGCTGCTTACCATATTCATACTCAGAGGCTTAATTCAGAAGGTGGCGCCTCATATGGTATTTAATCACTGTATGATTCATCGGCAAGCTCTTGTTGCAAAAGATATGGATGAAGAGTTGCACAATGTATAACAAGACGCTGTTAGTTCAATTAGCTACATTAAATGCAACAGTCACAACAGCCGTCTCTTTTCAATATTTTGCAATGAGATGGGCTCAACGTATAAGAGATTACTGTTACACACCGAAGTCAGATGGCTTTCACGTGGGAAAATACTACGAAAGTGTACATGTTTTTAATCGAAAAGAAACATAGATTGGCAAGTTATTATATCAATAAAGTTTGGCTAGGGAAGCTGAGCTATTTTGTTGATATTTTCGAAAAACTTAACGACTTAAATTTGAGCTTGCAGGGTGAGAATTCAACTATCATAACTACAGCCAGTAAAATTCAAGCTTTTAAGTATAAGCTTAGTCTCTGGCAAACTGAACTGAATAAAAACAACACCGACATGTTCCCTAGCTTTAACGATTTTATCAAGGAAAATAATATAGATATATTTACATTTAAAAACATCATTACCAATCACATTGAAAAGTTACAGAAAATTTTTTCGAGAAGATTCGAAGATTTTCTTGAAAACGATCTTGGTTGGATTCGTGATCCATTTTCCTTTGACATATGCAGTTCAACTCTTCAAATTAGTGAGAAAGAGCAATTGATAGATCTAATTAGTGATTATACTCTTCAAAATCAATTCAAGACTCAGCCTTGCCAAAAATTTTGGCTATCCGTGGAAAAACAATACCCCGTTTTATGCAAGAATGCCATCAGAGTGTTAATACAATTTGTATCAACGTATTTATGTGAAACTGGATTTAGCAAACTAGTTTCAATAAAAACTAAATACCGCTCGCGTTTAAACCCTGAAGATGATATGCGAATTGCAATTAGCAACATACATCCAAACATCGATGAGATAATTAGAAACTTGCAGCCACATACATCTCATTAAAGGGCAATCTACTGATTTTTGTGTTATACAAAAAGTATTTTCTTAAAATTATAAATAAAATTAATATGAGTCAAATATGATGATGTTTTTATTCGATGAAACTAAAGAAATGCCCGATATATACATCGTATTTGTGAACATTTATCTCTAGGGGTCACCAAAAATTTTCTCTCTACAAAAGGGGTTGCAGTCGAAAAAAGTTTGCGCACCACTGCTCTAGATCATTAAAATTTAAACATTTTGCATTTAAGTAAAAAAAAAAAAAACGTAAGAATATTTTTGTTATATTTTAACCTAGAATTAACTTAATTTTTTACCTTCGATTAGCTTTCATTTACAATACGCAAAAAATTTAAAATATAGATTTGATTATTTTTTTCAAAAAAAAGTTAAATGGGCTTCTTTTTTTTTTTACTTTCATTTCTTTTTGAGCTAATTATTTTAACTTTTAAGGAGCATTAAATTTAGAAGTTTGTCCCGCGCATCCAAATACCGCTGATCATATTTTTTGTTTTAATCCGTTATAATGCTTAATTATTTATTTTTTCAAAGAAAACTGGATTCTGAAAAAGAAAAAAAGACAGGGTTAGCTTTTTGTTTAATTTTATGATTGGGATTCAGTAACTGCTAATTTTTAGTCAATGACAAAGTTGGTAAAAAGAAGAAAGGAGAATAATTTTTCAATGCATCTAAAACTATTTTTTTTTTATTTAAATTCATTGTTAATAAGTTTTTCTAATACTTAAGACCAAACATATATAAAACTGCTAAAAAGGTTTTTTTTTCTTAATTTATTCAGTGCAAAGTGTGTCCTGAATGAGAATAAATAGACTTATCTCTTATGACTGATTAGAAGTTGGAACATTCCAACTTTGAAGATAAACCAAAATCTAGAAAATGTGATTGCAATACACTAGACAGAAGCGCGGTCAAAAGTTCATACATTTTTATGTTAATATTTATTGCAACTAAAATCACAAACAAAATCGTCTTTCGGCAAACAATTGTTTGTCGAAAAAATTTCATTTTTTTAATTGTTTAATTTTTTTAATGATCCTTATTGATCAAAAATATAAGAACATTTATATCATTTCAAACTGCATTATTCCGTATGCGATAGAATACTAAGTGTCTGCACTTTGCAAAGGCAAATCGATTGGATACTTCTCAAGAAATTATTAAAATACGAAAAATAATATATTGATTGTTATTCTTTTTCCTCCACAAGTACTTTTTTTTGTTTTTGTATATGCATTGTTCATTAGTTAAGGAGGAGAAATGAAAATTAAGTACTCGATACACATAGAAGGCAAAGCCCTCACTCACTTCCTCATCACTAATTCTCTCATTTACATTAAGTTCGAAAGCTAAAATTAGGATTTTGTATTTTTTATGAAATGAACAGAAAAACTAAAAAGTTTCACTTCGATATTTTTAAATTATCGGAGTAATTAGAGGCAGTTACCCCAATTGACAGTATAATGCTAAATAACCCGTTACTATCTAAATAAAAATCTTCAATTTTGGACAATGTGTTTCTTATTAATATAAAAGGAAAAACAAAAACTATTTCATTTTGATGTTTTTAATCATCAAGGTAATTAAGGATAATCATCTTAATTTACAATAATGCGAGATAACACTTTCCAACCAAAATAGGAGCCTCAAATGTTTTTTTGTCAAATTATAAGAGTACGCTAAAAAAAGAAGTTTTTTTTAGAAATTAAATTGCTATCGAGACAGTAATATTAAACATCCGTACTACCGGTTAATTGGTGCAGCAGAGCCGATTGCGGCAGCTGTGCTATTAAACCACGATAAATTGAGTTCGTGCAGGTGAACGACTTAGAAGAAATTCAAGATGGTGAGCTTAGCAACCTTAAATAATCAACATAAAGTTTAAACCCTTAACCTAATTTAGTCTTTAACCCTTACCAAGGGAGTCTCTCACTATGTTGTTGTATTGAGAACTTTTTTACTCTGTTTGTTTTACAAGTTTATAGATAAAAAAAAAAGAAACATAAGCTTATTAGTACGAAAAACATAGAAACTCACTGTTCACTAATAAAGCAATTTTATACCTAGTTAAGTAATGAATCTCTATTTATTAAAAAATTCCCTCCTACGAATCTAAAGAAAATATACCCTGTTTTCATGATGATTTTCATCGAATCTTAGTACTTATTTTCTAACTGACAATTTTTATTTTTCTAGTTTTCTCAGATGGAATTAAACATAACAGTATTCTTGATGGCGTATCAGATAGCAGAGAAAGTTTGTGCAAAATTACCAAATGAAACTTTTTCGACCGAACGAATGATGAAAAGAAATGTGGAACGAAATAGAACTTCATGAAATTCAAGGAAATGTTTGTAAATAGGTAGAAAAGGAGGGTAGAACTTTTTTACTCGTAAATTTTACAAAATAAAAGACACGCAGCTTATAAATTTTTCTTTAGAAGTAGTTTTAGGAGAAAATTAAATTTTTTCGAAATGAAAAAATGGCTGAATATTGGAACAGAGAACAGCCTCTAGATCTTAGAGTAAAGAATTCAACAAAAAGAGTGAACAAACCTTATAATCGAGATAATGTGAAATTCGAAAGTACAAGTGAAAGAAATTGTATTCTTGCCTCTCTTTTAAAACAGCCTTCCTCTTCAAAATCAAATGTAGAATTTGTATCAAATTCAAGAAATGGTTTTTTTCTGAACAATGCTTCAAACTCATTTGAAAACAATTCTTCAGCAACTTTTATTATCCCTCGGCAACCGGAAGTTATCCAATCTAACTTTCCAACACATCATTCATCATCCGGCTCAATTCATCAAGGAATTATTAGCAATATTAAACATGAAATAGGTTTTAAAACAAATGGTATAAAGCAAGAAACTGACACAGATGAAATTACTATAGTGTTTGACAGTTATAGGGACTTAGCAAATGGCTTGAGTAAAAATTACAACACTCAATCTACAACTGAAGATGCATCATCAGGATTTGTTCCGAACTATCGCAAATTTTATGCTCGTTGTCATAGCAATAAATCATTCCATTCAAGATTAATCAATCAGCAAAATCTTAATCTTCAAACTTTCAGTCAATCAGACTTTCCATTTTCTAATTTTCCTCAGCGAAATAATGAGCTTGGTCATATAAATTCAGTACAGTACCAAAGTAGAATTTTGAATGCACACTTTCAAAATCAAAATGTTCCTTCTATCAAAATCGAGCAAGACATAGAAAAGCAGGATTCTTCTGAAAATTATAAACACGAGAAAGATAAAATTCTAAAATGTTTATTGACTAATACGGTAAATGATAAAATTTATTTGTGTAATAATAATTATATACTGCAAAATTCTGTATACGACAAGAAATTGCAATATAGTGATGTGTTCTTAAGATTTAGGTATCCTCAGTTGAATCAAAAGCAGCAACAATCATGCCATATTTATTACCCTGAGGCAGTAAGAACAGTTCAAAAGGATAGCATATTAAAAAGCTTACTAGTTACAAATCGTCTAAAACCAGATATTGCTCAAGGTTCTTCTGGTTCATACAATGCTGGTTCTCCTGGTAGTGAGTCTACATCGAGTAGTAGTACAGATTCTGGAGTATTTAGTGACATTTTACCTGATGAACGTCGTCGAATTTCAAGAGGTCCTAGTAACAGGTATATTAAAACAGGTACAGGTGCAAGTCTTGAAACGTTGAAAATTCTGCGTCAAGTAATAATGGAGCGGCAACAAAAAACTGATCGAGAACTTTGACAAAAAGACAATTGATAAACCTTTTCAAAACATCATACTGTTACTACATTGTTGTGAGAGCTTAATCTTGAAATGTTATTTCTAAATTATAGTACAAAGTACATACACTACTAATTTACGAAGTAAATATATTTCTAAATCAATATTTAATTTTCCCTGGGCTGAAAAGAATACTTATGCGTGGACAGATGTGGTTATAATAAACAAGTAAAGTACAATTTTATTTATATTTTTGTAAAACTCTTCTGTTTTCCTTGGCACACATAATTCAAGAATATAAAATATTTAAATAACTAGGTATGATATAAAATAATTCTACTTTTTAACAAATGTTATTTTGATTCAGTTATTGTATGAACTTCATTGAGACAATATTGAAGTTGTTTTCAATCGTCGAAGCATAGTGAATCTCTAAACTCATATTTTTAAAAACAAATATGTTGAAATAAGCATTTATATTTTTGAAATTTACAATCTGATGTATTACTGCAATGTAATTACTGGAATATAACTTAATGATCATAAAGTGTCCTAAAATGTATGATTTTACTTAACTAAAAATTAGCGAATAATTCTAAAAAACCGCTATTTATAGAATCATTTTCTCAAAAAATTGTGTTGTTTTTTTAGTTTTAAAATAATATTTCTTAATTAAAAATTGCGTATCAAGAGATTTCTTAAATTACAAATTATACTACATAACATAGGCAATACAAGCAATAACATACGCAATTATGCAACATATTCAACGCAATACAATACTGTAAACAATGCAAAGTTAGAATAACAATGGTATCACAGCTTTATATCGCTAGTTATGCTTGGTCATCCAGTGCTCAAATGATAAACAAAAAATAACATAAACTTAACAATTTTAAAAAGATTCAGGTTTTTATGTCTCGAATCTTTCTTGAGAATTAGAATGAATTGTCTCTACGTTAACCCTTTCAGGGTTGACAAATGGAGAAAGAGGCTCTCCCTCAGCCCACAAACTCCGAATTTATGAATTGTTACGTACTAAAACGTAAGTTTGCGCGTACTAATACGTAATGTAATACAAGAGTACCGTGTTGAGATCACGTCAGTGTGATCTTGGGCCAGCTAGAGTCAAAAAGGCTCATTTTTATATGAAAGTGTGAACCGTGAAGGGACAATGTACGATCACTGCCCTGAAGGGGTTAACCGTGATTACACTAAAGTAATTTTTTAAACTAACTGACACTTAATCTAATGAACTGGAAAACAGATTTACGTATGTACTAAATCTGTTGAAGTTAGAAGTCGTTGTAAATCTTTTAAGTCAATCAGTTGAAATCATAAGCTGTTATCTAGACTTGTTCTTTTCATGTAAACGACTGTCAAAAAGTCTGCAGCTTCGTTAAAAAAGAAAAACAAACAAAAAAACAATAATTGTATTTAAAATAAATAAATTAATTAAACAAATATTTCAGTGAATTTGTTCAAACAGTCGACATTATTAAAAATTTTTAATATTTCAGCTAGCGTGATAGTCAAAAAACTACAAAATGTTTCACATTTTCGACCAAACTTATTGAGTTATGAGATTGCTAATGTTTAGTAACGTCGATGAAGAGGGGAAATACATCCTTTATTATTCTTCAAAAATAAATAAATATCGTTAAATATTGCCATATTGATATATTTTAAAAAATCGGTAAAAAAAATAGAAGTGAAAAAAAAGTTTGAAGTAAAAAAAATAGAAATAAATGGACAGAAATTAGTGTTTTAAAGAAGAAAAAAAATTTCGAACTCTGGCAAAATATTATCGAAGTCCATCAGCAAAAGAAAGATTAAAATAATCAAACTCATTAGTTTAGTGAGGCTGAAATGAATACACCTTCATACAAAAGTAAACTAATTTTGATCATTTTAATCCGTATTTGATTAAATTCTATATTATTTCACCAGTGTTTGATTTTTTTCTCTTAAATATCAGTTTTCTGCATCTAATAGTCTAAGTTTTTGTTTTTATTCTTTACAACGAATATAAAACATAAACATGAAGAGCGGTTATTACGGATCATCTTGTATAAACGAGCTTTATTGGTTCACAAATAAAAGAGAAAAGTTTTATTTTGATGCACAATTCACCCCTTCTAATGTTTTTAGTTCATTGCACTAGGAAGACTCATTAAGAATTTTATTACCATTAATATCAGTGCTATTCCTGATTGAAATTGTTTTTGCTTTTAAGTTTTAAGAGAAATGCTAATTAATAACATCGACTTTTCAATAATTTATCTTTTAACAAAAACTTTAATGCGTTGAAGATCTCAATCCTTTATATTTTTGGATCAAAACTTTACTTTGTATTAAAGGTATGAGGGCAAATACGTGAAAAATAAAGATAATTTTTCAACCTAATATTCTATTTCTTATAAGAATAACAATTCATTTAAGAATTAAATAATTAAATATTTAATTCATTTAAGAATTAAATATTTGAAAATAAATGTTCAGTATCTTATTACACCACATAAAATTGATGAGAAAAATCGCTAAAACGGAGAGATAAGTAATGAAATATAGATATTTTTAATACTCTTCTCTAAAACTGTTTATTCTAAAATTCCGCAAAATTCTGATTAAATGCCCTCTTAAACTTAGACGAAAATCAATAAGATATTGACAGAGCGGATAAACGGATAAACCAAAGCTGGAGTATAAACTTAAAACTTTGATCCATTTTTACAATTGAACATTAGTTGTTGTGCATGAGATAAAGTGGGTATGTTGAAGGACATGCATGCACTTGCTGACAATAATTAATATTTCTGATAATAATGCTACTTTGTTATTAATACCTTTTTGTTAATAGTACTTTTTTGTCAATAATAATGATCTGCATTTACTCCATCAATGCTTATTCATGTAAAATAACACTAGAAGCAAAATAACTTTTGCCTTCATTGGACCAATATTAACGAATCTTGGCTCAATAAGGGTTCAAAGGGCAGTTTTCTCCCTATATAGAATATATATTGGCCCTATATAGAATTTTTTGATTCACTCAATATTTTACAGCCACTTTACAACCAATATAGATCCTATATAGTATTGTCAGATTCCCCCGATATTTTATATTCATTATTCAGCCAATATAGGCCCTATATTAATCCTATATAGGTAGATATTGGCCCTGTATAGGACCTATGTTTAAAAAAAATTTAGACATACCAACGTTGATCTCTCGGTGCATGTTCTTATAAGACCCATACTGAGCCAATTTTGAGCCCAACTGGGCCAAGGTAAAACTGTTGCTAGGGGACCAATGAGCTATGCAAATAAACGTGCTTAATACTTTTTTTGCTAATAATACCTAATATACTTCTTTGTCAACTATATTTTATATGTCAGATTTATTTCTAAAATAAAAGTGTGAATGTAGATATAATGTTGCTAATGTGCTTGAAACTTATTTTTTTTCATAATACCTAGTACTTCTTTGTTAATAATACAGATTAATACTTAAAATAAAAATATTGTGTTATCTATCTAAGGTGTTAATGTTCTTTCTTTCAACGGAAATTCGGTAGATAAATGTATTCTAAATTAATATGTATTCGAGAAAGATGTTTCCTATTATTTTACTCTTGATACAGAGTGTCTCACTGTTTAAGAAATAAAACATGATGAAACAAATACTTTTCGACTTAGAAAATGTAGTAGTAAATTAAAAAGGTAACTAAGAGGCTCTAGAGCATTAAATCGAATTTTTTAAAACATATTACTACAGATATAAATAATTTTCAAGACGTAACATTTAAAAAAAAAAATTAAGCTCTTTATTAAAACTACATTTTCAAAAAAAAATTTTTTTAACTGTTATTTCTTCAAAAGTAATCAACCGAATTATTTAACTTATTTATTTATTTACCTACTTATTTGTTTTACACTCCGGCACTATGATCCATGATGCACCATGATTTCCCTAAAAATTTGACTCCAAAGCAATCTATCTAGTGCCTATTACTTATTCCATTTCCTTCTTTTAAACTCTTGAGGTCTCTATCAACCTTATTTATCCATCTTTTCTTCGGTCTTTTCCGTTTTCACCAACCCATCGGTGATCGTCCATTCTCTTCATGCGTGCACGTGTCTCAACCATAGGAATCTTTTTTATTTTAAATCGTTTACTAAATCTTTTTCGTAAAACAGTTTTTGTATTCTATGGTTGAAAATACAGTGCCCACTATATCGTTCTCCCTTACATTTACAATTCCGAGTTCTATGGCGAAAATATATATTTCATCATGTTCTATCTCTCCTTAAAATTAATAGGACAATAAAGTTAACAATTTGTTAAAACATCATACATAGATGTATGATAAATTTTACAAATTAGCTTTTTATTCTCTTTTTTTTTTCAAACTGTTACTTGCCTCTTAACCAATGCTCTATCTAATTTGCTTTTATGTTTGTCAAAATTAATCATTCTCAGTTGTTCTGGGTCTTTTTCAACCCAAATCTTTTATCAAATTTTATAACACCATATAAAGGTTTAAGTACACCCTTTAATATATTTTGCAGGCAAATGGAAGAAAACTAAATCCAACTGAAGAAATCTTCCGACACCTGGTACCTTTTTTGGATCGAAAGTTACTGTAATGCTTGTGGAGCGTCTCAACTTGGAACAACTTGTTTCTTCGAATTCAAGGATCAGAACTACAGGATCAGAACTACAGAAAACTGTACGAAGCAGCAAATTTTATGGAAACGAATTAAATGATGTAAACATTATAAAGCGTCATCACTGTGAAATCACCTTTAATTTATTAACACATATCAAAACTGTTTTCCAAGCAACAAAGTTGTATAACAACAAATTTACTGTGCTCAATCATTTAGTGAGTTTGAAGATTTATGTGAGTGAGTTTGCTTATAAAGTTATTTTCAGCCATATAGCCACATGAAGAAACAATTATCCATAGAAACAATTTGAAAATGTGAAGTATGATATGACTGCGATAGAATACATTGTTTTTCCTCATTAACTCGTACAATGATAGTGTTATGAAGTATTGTGCCATTAAGAATTAAAATACGTATTTTGTTTTAACTGCATAATATTTCGTAATTATGTATATCCTATGTAGGATATGAATTTTTTGCCAGTTACTATTTTTTTGTACATGTCTCTCTCTCTCTCGCTCTTTCTTTCTATCTTTTCGTTTTTTCCCCTCTGAATCTAAAAAATATTTTACAGATTAATTACATATGTCTTACAAAAATTTTCTTCTCTGTTTTTTTTTTAAAATTTAAATGCTCCATTACCAAAATTCATAGAGAAAAAGTTTTTTGCAACTACTAAAGATTTTTTCAGTGAGTGGGAGTATTTCTGGAAAACAAATGAGCTAAAATAAAGCACGAATCTCCTGAATTTTTTAAAACCTGGAATAGAAAATTACTAAATTATTAATTACTTTTATATTTATTTTTGTACTTTCCTCACTTTTCTATTCAGCCGCAATAAGCCTAAAAAATATAGTTGTATTATTTAGCAAGTGCTATATTTTTTAGCTCAGAAGCATAAGTACATACTCTTTACAATAAAATGAAAAGAAAAGAAAGATATTGCCTGATTCTGCCGTTTGAATAGTAAGCGTTTTTACACACACTGTTTTAAGAAAAAGGTGATTAACACTTAGAATTGCAACTGCATATTTTAAGTTATAATTACTGTTAGATAAAAAATAATGAAAGAAAGGAAACCTTAATAATTTTTAATCTAATAATCGAATTGTCATGTACTAAGAAGCGATTGTAATATCTCGAGGAGCTAAACTTGAATGTACTAATTAATTTATTCATACGATACTTTAAGTTACAATCAGACACAAAAATACTTTTTTTTTTCTGAATGAACCGACGTTATTTTCCAGCGGATCCGGATTCCTCTTCCTCAAAATATGGGGGGGGGCAGCAATCTTGCCAGTACAGTCCCAATAGTTAAGTTGTCGAAAGTTGCTTAACCCATATGTAACGTCCCTTTAATGAGACGGTTCCTTTTTTCAGAAAAGAAAAAAATGGCACCACACGTGTTTTATTACAGTAAAACTTGTGTAAGTTGACCACTTGTGGTGCATTGTTTTAGTGGTCAACTTAGACAAGTGGGCAACTTATAGAGGGGGTGGGCCATTGTTTACTTTTTTGTTTCCTATATCATGTTGCTATATACTTAAAAAAACTTTTTTGCTTGACTTAAACATTTTATTTATCAAATAGCCAAATGAATATCTTAAGAAATGTGTTTAAACCTGAATGAACTTCAATTTGTTACATATAATTCTAATATTTAACTAACTTTTTTAAAAAAATTATTTCGTTAGTTATGCATGTGAAGTGTTTAATAAAAATAATTTCTTAAAATATCAGAACACGAAAACATGTAATTTGAAAACTTCAATTAAACAAAATTATTTGAACACTTTAAAATTTATTCTGTTATTACTACACTTACAAACCTATTTGTATCAAAAATATTCCCTCATTGTTGTTTGGCGTTGTTGTTTAAACTTTACATCAGCCCAATGTTTTGAATGAAAGAAATGTTCGAAAGCTGACCCCCTACGGTTTTCCCAGATGTTCAACTCACAAAAGGGTTTAGATTAGCTTTTTACACTATTTCACCAAACAAATGAAATTTTAACATACATTGCAAAATGACAGAAAATTTTCTAAATTTTTTTTCCCGGTCAACTTAAGAGGGTTTTAGAATAGAATTTCATAATACTCCTAGACAAAATTGACTTATTTTAGAGGTCAACATACAGGATAGACAGGTGGTCAAGTTACAAAGGTTTTGCTTCTTTGTATTATATAAGAAAAATTCCGTTCTTGATAATTGAGGTCAACTTATGCAGGTGTCCAACTTACAAGGTTGGTCAACTTGGCAGGTTTCACTGTATTAGTATTTATGTTGCAAAAACAATATATCAATGATATAAATATTTATATTTATATTAGAAATTGCTTTTTTAAATCTAAAGTGGTAAGTAACAGAACGAAACATTACTTTTTTCGTATTAGTGCTTTTTATATATATAGCACTTTTTTAGGTCATGCATTAACGGTTCATGTTAATTGTGTTATTTGCACTTTTTTACGTATTTCACCATATCTCTTAGACTATTTAAGAGAATGAAAAATAATAATAATAATTTCACATACTTATAAAAGTGACTTATCCAAAGACATGTTCTAGTAAAATATATTTTTTAAATCTATTAATATTATATAGCTGTATTTTATTATTATTTTTTATAAATAATAAAACATTCATTAGATAAATATTTCATTGTTTGCTTTAATAACGGGAAATTTTGGATTATAAGACATACAGATTTGATTGAATTTGATTTTGAACTTAACGAAAAAATATAGACTTAGAACGAAATCGGGCAAATAGATGTTTTGGAGCCATGGTGGCTCAGGGGATAGAGCGTTCGCCTTCCAATGAGGTGAAGCGGGTTCAAATCCCAGCTATGGCTGTTCGATACAAATTCCATACCCGGATCTCACCGACCACAGAGGCTGACGTAAAATATCCTCAGTAGTAGACAGATCATATGTTAAAGTCCCCTTGCCGTCAGGTTAAACGGTGGGAGGTTTTCGTGGTTTTCTTCTTCATGTTATGCAAATGTGGGTTTGTTCTGTCAAAAAAGTGCTCTGAGAAAGCAAATTTCTCCCAATACTTGATCCAGGAGTTCCTTTGTCTTCTGGATTGGGTTCAAAATTACGAGGTTACGGAGTTGAATATTAGTAGTCGTAAACCCAAAATTAGGTCGGCTGTTCAATGACGATTAAGAAATAGTTCTCGCTAAATGAAAATTAAAAATACTACTTTTTTGATCAGAAAGAAGTGCAATTTACATAAAAAAAATTCAAACTGTAGAAAATTCTTCCACCTAAACTATAGGGACCATATTTTCCTAATTGCGGCTACACCATGTCCGATTTTGAGGGTCAAGAATCCAAATTCGTCGAAAAAAAGATATGATTATTCAAAGAACGTAAGTTTCTATGCTTGATATCGTAACTTAAAATGTTATCTGCACAAATTGATTAACATCCTTAAATTTAACCCCTCTATCCATTAAGGTAACATCTAAGTACATAAAAATCTGATAATTAGATCAAAAGTTATTTAGGTGTTCCTTTTTTTTATTTTGCGTATTATATATTAAGTGAAATATATTTAATTATTTTCAATCATATGTAATTTTAAATTGAATGTGATAAAATGAGAATGTAATTTTAAATTGAAATGTGATCTAATTAAATGGTTTAGAAAAAATATTTAATAAGTTATCTTTTGTTTTCTTTTCAAAATATAACGCCAAAACATTTACAAAACATTTTGATACATTTAAAATTAAACTATTTGATTTTTTT